TTGTGTGTGTGTGTGTGTGTGTGTGTGTGTGTGTGTGTGTGTGTGTGTGTGTGTGTGTGTGTGTGTGTGTGTGTGTGTGTGTGTGTACCTCTCTGGGGAGGGGGTCCAGGGAGGAGAAGGTGAGGTGTGGTTGGTAGGTCATCAGGTCGGGTCTCTCCACCTGCAGGATGGCTTTGTCTCTTGGCAGTGCCGCCAGGTCTCTGTAGCCGACGAGCTGGTCGTCCACGCGCGCCTGAACGCACCACGAGAGGAACAGGTGAGGGAGACAGGTGAGGGATACAGGTGGGGGAGACAGGTGAGGGAGAAAGGTGAGATTGATAAGCACACAAATAGTCTGATTAAAAATGGAATCTGTATATTCTATATCGTTACACGGAAGAGCACGCAATTAGATTTTCCCCTGACTGGTTAGTATCCTAGCACTTTGTATCATACCGATTCGTCCCTAACAGGTGTGTCTCTAACAGATGTGTCTCAGGTGTCTCTCAGACGTGTCTCTCAGGTGTGTCTCAGGTGTGTCTCAGGCATGTCTCTAACAGGTGTGTCTCTAACAGGTGTGTCTCTAACAAATGTCTCTCAGGCGTGTCTCTCAGGTGTGTCTCAGGTGTGTCTCAGGCATGTCTATAACAGGTGTGTCTCTAACAGGCGTGTCTCTCAGGTGGGTCTCAGGTGTCTCTCAGGTGTGTCTCAGGTGTGTCTCTCAGGTGTGTCTCAGGTGTCTCTCAGGTCTGTCTCAGGTGTGTCTCTAACAGGTTTGTCTCTCAGGTGTCTCTCAGGCGTTTCTCTCAGGCGTGTCTCTCAGGTGTGTCTCAGGAGTCTCTCAGGTGTGTCTCAGGTGTGTCTCTGAACAAGTGTGTCTCAGGTGTGTCACTGAACAGGTGTGTCTCAGGTGTGTGTCTCAGGTGTGTCTCAGGTGTGTCTCAGGTGTGTCTCAAGTGTCTCTCAGGTGTGTATCAGGTGTGTCTCTGAACAGGTGTCTCTCAGGTGTATCTCAGGTGTGTCTCTCAGGTGTGTCTCAGTTGTCTCTCAGGTGTGTCTCTGAACAAGTGTGTCTCAGGTGTGTCTCTGAACAGGTGTGTCTCAGGTGTGTGTCTCAGGTGTGTGTCTCAGGTGTGTCTCAGGTGTGTGTCTCAGGTGTGTGTCTCAGGTGTGTGTCTGAACAGGTGTGTCCCAGGTGTGTCTCTGAACAGGTGTGTCTCAGGTGTGTCTAAGGTGTGTCTCAGGTGTGTCTCAGGTGTGTCTCAGGTGTGTCTCAGGTGTGTCTCTCAGGTGTTACCGTGATGCTAGTAGCCGGAGACCCCGGGGTCGTCCCTCGTGACGCAGGGAGGTGAGCCGGAGTCACCTGAGCCTCCACCTGGCCAGAGGAGGGTCAGCAGGTGAGATCAGTTTAATACATCACAGCTTAATGAACGTGCTCATAATGTATTCATGAATGTAAACAGAAAATAATAAATTATTATGTTAAATATAAATAATTTATAAAATAATTATTACCTTGACCCTGGAGAAATAAGTAGAAAATATAGTTGTCAAAAAATTCTATAAATATAAACGTTATTTATGAAAAACATGTTTTTTAAAGAAATAATAGGAAATATATATAAAAAATGTATTTAATATATTTATTTAAATATTCACAGGAATAAATAAGTACGTTTATACAACATTTTCCCATTCCTGTGCATCTTTATTTAATAATTGATGCTTGTTTCTTTAGATGAAACGCAGCGCCTTGTGCGACTCATTAAAAGTAGAATAAACAAAAGGAAAGCGTCCTCTAACTTAGAGATTAGCCTCAGATCATCACTTCTAAAGATGGTAGCAGTGAGGGTTAGGGTTAGTGTGAATGTCTCTCAGTGATTACCTTCTGCATGTCTGCAGAGAGTCGCTGCTCCTGCTGCTCAAACGTCTGCAACACAAACACCAGATCAGCAGACGCATCGTCATCATATCATATCTCAAATATAATATACCATATATGTATGTCTTGTATTGATGTGTACATTCATGGAAACAGAGTTTTGATGATCATGTGGGGTCCTAAGGAATCCATCAGAGAAGCTGAGATGGAGCTCAGTCTGAAGCTGTGTCCTAACCCCCCACGTCACTACCGAGTGGAGCCTGAACGCACCACAGTGCATCTCTATGGAGGACCTGCTGCTCTTAGTGAGGTCTCAGTTGACTTCTGGGAAGAGAAGCTTCATCTCGGGGGGGGGGGGGAGGAGGAGGTCCTATTTGTATTCACCTCTTACCTCTCCTCACCTTTGGTCTGCTTTTTCCTCCCCTGTCTCCTCCCCTAGTCTAGTTTCATTCCTACTCCTCTCCCCTGTCTCCTCGTCTCCTCTCCCCTGTCTCCTCGTCTCCTCCCCCCTGTTTCCTCCCCTAGTCTAGTTTAATTCCTCCTCCTCTCCCCTGTCTCCTCTCCCCTGTCTCCCCCTCTCCTCTCCCCTGTCTCCTCATCTCCTCTCCCCTGTCTCCTCGTCTCCTCTCCCCTGTCTCCTCCCCTATTCTAGTTTAATTCCTCCTCCTCTCCCCTGTTTCCTCGTCTTCTCTCCCCTGTCTCCTCCTCGTTTCCTCCCCTCCCTCCCCCCCTCCTCCCTGTTTATCTCCTCCTGCAGTCTGGCGACGCCCCGTTAGAGGAGCCGCTCCTCAACGGTTTCTGTGATGACCGTATATGGACTTCCTCTTCCTCCTCATCTTCTTCTTCCTCCCTTTTTAAGAACCTCTTCCTCCCTTTGTATTCTTATTTAAAAGCTCGCAGCAGCCTCTGCTCCTGACACACGGAGAGGAGGGTCCAACACACAGGATGTGACCCTGATCATGTGACATCATAAAGTCAGCTATGACTTCATTTAAATTCACTTTATTTATATAACGACTTTCAGATAAAGAAGCATCACTAAATGCTTCAGAGAGAAACTAAAAACTAAAATCTACAAGTCACAGGAATTCCTTTTACGGTATTTATGGATACGCATGATTTCTGTTGATATAACATTAACCCTTTACACGTGTTCTTTAATATAAAGAATTATTAAAACGTTTGCACACACACAGAAGCTGTCACTCTGATCAACTCGTCTGAAGGACGGATCACTGAGAGCTTTAGAGGGTGTGTGTGTGTGGTCCATTAGTTCAACCACACACACACACACACACACACACACACACACACACACACACACACACACACACACACACACACACACAGGATGTTCTACAACTGATGGTTAATAAGTTAAATAAAATAAATGTACTGCTTCCACTGTCTAATGGGTTTCAGATTGGCTGCTTTTATCTGGATGTTATCGCTTTAAATGTAATATATTTGGTTAAAAAGCAAACAAATTCAACCATAACAATAATTTAGAAGAAGTGAAACTAAGTGTAGATAAAGTCAAAACAATGAAAACAGCCTATGAAATATTGCAAATCTAAAAAAACAACAACTTATATTTAATGTAAAAGCTACAGTTACAATAAAATTGATAAAAGCTTAAAAGTAATAATAATTGAAAAGACGCTGAACAATTCAACAACTTAATTAAATCCTATTGGCTTCTAAAACATAATAATGGACATTTTTACAAATATTATCATTATCGTTATTCTCATAATTTCTCTTCCTATTTCATATGAGCATGATGTGTGTTGACAGTGAAGCTGAAGGATGCTCGTGTGTTTCCAGGTGTGTGTACAGACCATAATAACCCTGCTTCCTTTAATAAAGCTGCATCACTTTCCTCACGAGCTCTTAAATCAGGGAATTCATAGAGACAGCTTTCTCCAGAAAGATCATCGACATGAAGCTGCTGGAAGATGGAGGCAGTCTGCTCAGCGCGATAAAAACACAGCCTGTTTATCCCGGGTTACTCCCTCTAATAACCCGGGATAGTGCCTCTAATAACCCGGGATATAGATATGATAACCCTTATTATTAAATAAACCAGCTTCAAGGTGCAGAGAAACGGCGGTTCTTACCTGCAGACTGCGGGGGGCGAGCGGAGAGTGGCCGAGGAGGAGAGCCTGAAGACGGCTGGAGAAACGCGAGGATAGGGGTGGAGGTGCGGAGGGAGGGGGGAGGAGAGGAGGGGAGAGGAGACAGAGGGGACAAGGAGGAAGGACACTAGACTAGGTGAGGTGACAGGGGAAAGGAAACAAGGAGAGCAAAGGTGAGGAGAGGAAAAGACGTAAAGAGGAGAGAGAAGTAAAAGGTGAATACAACAAGTAGAGGAGACTAAAGGAAAGGAGGTGAGACAGGGGAAAGTAAGGAGTGGAGGAAAGGAGAGGAAACAGAGGAAAGGAAACAAGGAGAGGTGACGGAGGATGCTTCCTGTTGCTCGGGCGGGTCCACTGTGATGTGAGGAAGGAAGGGGGGTGGGGGGCGGGG